CCGAACCTGCCATGTAAACACCCGTTTTTGACACCTTGAATGCCCTACGAAGCAATTCATACCCTGCCGACAGGCTGATGGCGGCGCGCGGCGAATGAGGTCCATTCACAATGCAAACGTAAACATAAGCATAGCGCATAGACATAAACATTGACATTAGTGATGGATTAAAGTATTCACAATGTCTAACAAAAACGTAAACAAAATAAAGTTTCTATTGGCTGTGAGACATTCTGGTTTACTATTCGTTGGATGTGAGACTTGATTTCAGGGTATCGACTGTGTCAATGGCCCACATGGCGTTAGTTCTTCTATCGATTTCTGTCCAATTTCGATTTTGAGTTACCGTACTATGATTGGTTCACTTCTTGTCTTACTTAAGCATAAGCACAGAAGCTTGAAGCTGTAAAGTTAACGCCTTACGTGTTATGCTTAAGCGAGGCATTATGTGTCCGCTTATGGACGCAGTCCTAACTTTTATGTTAACGCCATGTCTGTTTATGTTTGCATTGTGAATGGACCTTAACCGCAAGAACTGTGGTGCCAGGCAATTTCCGCACTTCGAGAGGCGGGAGGTCATGAAAGATCTGAATATTAATAGTCGCTTAACGCACTACTTGCAAAGCTTCAAAGCCCTTCAAAATTTATATTTATGAGTTTTGCAAGGTGCTGAACAAGCTGGTAAACTGTCATGTCAATTCGAGTAGCCAGCACGTTGAGTGTTGCACACAAGTTATGTAAGCCCAAAGACGAGTCTAAATCTGAGTCCTGAAATTTCGCTAGAATACAACTTTTATTATAATAAATTCTACGATTCACGATATTTTTTCCCATTATTTGAGAACTATGTAAATTATATTTATGATGCTCTATATTAAAAATATTTGGTTGGCAACAATCCTGAAGTAATGATATTCAAATATTATCAGAAGACCACAACAGGAGTAAAAAGGTTGGTTAACACTTAATTTCTCCATCCATGTTATGTCCAGCAACTTCAATTGCAAACATCTGTTTAGAACTGCACTAGGTATCTCGCCGATGGTGGGATCCCCAAATGTACACTTCAGGGTGAAATTATATTGTGTGTAAAAAGTTTTACTTGTAGAGAACAATCCAAAACACCCTCATGTGTTATCTACATATGTAGAAAGCCTACATGCATCTCATGTATTATCTACGTATATTATAATCCAAAATGAACCAACAAAAGTGGTCAACCATAAAAATCATTTCCATTTCAAATAATCAAATAGTCACATTTAAAATGAAAAATTGGAATAGTTCTCCATGCTATTTTATGTACAGAAACAAACCTCTTTCGCATTTCAAAACTTCTTCCAACATTTGTCTATTTGATTATTGGGCATAAACTTTAAAACTGTTTTCTTACATAATCTGCCTTCGCACTTCTCACATTTGTGCTACTCATTTACGTTTACTCAATGTATATTGGATATGTTCAATATATTACAAACAGAGTTTCCTTTAATCAAATGAAATAATAATTGTTTACATAATGTGCACAATGTAAATTACACAAGAGAATACTGTTGTTATTTTTTAAAGTCATCAATTCAATATCACTATTTTATTACACTTAGGAACAGTTTAGCATCAGAAAGTTAAATTTCTACTTTTTAAGTTACAGGCAGTTTTTCCTCTGAATTTTTTTGCACATTTTCTGCTCTTTGATTTTCCAATGACTTGGAAGTTTCCATTTTCCCAGAAAGTAGTCATCCTGTAGGATTAATAAGTGATATTGTCTTCACAACACAATATTAACAAATCCATTACCCCAATAGACCCAAAATTATCAAAAATGGGTCATAATGTTTATGAGAAATTGCAGAAATAATTAAATATAACAATATAATGGGATTTTGTTTCTTAATTATAGACAGTCAAACTATTCGTATTAAGGCATAATATATTTATTCCATTATGCACTTCTCTTTACATGAAAACATTTGCAGGTATAACTTTTTACAGACCAATACATCCGATTTCTCAGATATTTATAGCTTACATAATTTTATTTAAAAACATATATCAGGATATGATGTCGTAATCAACCAATATTAAATATTAATACTCATAAATGTCATGTTTAAACATCAATTGTCAAACAGATGCATAACAATAAGTTGTTATTTTTTTTAAACTCTCCTGAAGTGACACCCCCAGCATGGCCATAGCTCGGCTATTACGAGACCTGAATTTTATAAATATTTCTTTAATTTACCATCTACTTTTATGAACATCTACTAAAATGACATTCTTTAATATCTTAATATGGCATCTACAAGTTTTAATTTTTAATATTGGTTGATGTTGATATCATATCCTGAATTATGTTTTTAAATAAAATTATGTAAGCAATATGTACCTGCGGAAACAGATTTATTTGGCTGTGAAAAGTTATACCTCAACTGTTTTCACTGTAAAGAAAAGTGCTTAGTAGGATAAATCATATTATGCCCTAATGTGAATAGATTGACTGTTTATTATTAAGATTCAAAATCCCATCAAATATATATGGACAGTCAGTAGAAAATTTATTTAGATATAAAAATACAAAATTTCAATTAAATACAAAAATCATTAGGAACATTAAACCAAAATATGACCATAACCACTAAACAATGTGTAGTCAATGTAATTCTAAAGGATAAGGACACATAGGTGAACAATCCAGAATCCAGATATGGTGTGCGTGTGTATGTATATTCTTTATTCTATAAAACCTAAATGTTAATGTGTTTCTTAGGGAAAACCTAGAAATGATGAAGATAGTAATGAAAGGTAAGATTAGAAATGAACAATGCTATCTGTGAATGTATGTTTGTTTATATTTTGTATATAATGTATTTTTATTATTGTTTGGATTTTCACAATAGGAATCACTTAATTGTATTTCTGGAGTTGTTTTAGTATGTTTTCACTATGCCTATTTTAGCTTCTGATGCCCATTTTTGGAATTTTGCCTTATTTGTGCCTTTTGTACATTTGTATCGTTATTTTCCCTTTTTCCCCTCCTGGCACCAAGCTCTATCAAGCTGGAATTATACCTGCAAGCCTGGACAAGGCACGGTCGGGTATAGCCTTTCTGTGTACGCGAAGGTTCCAGTATTAGGTTGTTACAAATCTAAAAGGGAAAGGAAGATGATACCAGTGAAGATTTTTGATATTTTTCAACGATGTTGATAGACTTCTCCCATCTCATCCTATGTTTGGGTATGGTTTTGGATCCCTTCTGAGGATCGAGCTGTCTGTACATGATATACCCTTTTCAGTTTATTCTTGTTCTCTCTTCCCTTCAGGTGATTACATAAGTGCAAAGACTGAAATCTTTGAATTCTGTTTTCACACACTATTTCAAGATTCAAAAGCAAGTCCATCTGCTGTTATAGGAATCAGAAATTAATTTCCTTATAGGATATATTACTCTAGATATCACTGTTTAAAGAAATCTCTCAGTCCCTCCCAATGCAGTGAGGTAATGAATCAATAGTAATCTCCACTCTTCTGCATTTTATAATGAATTAGTTGAAATTTGCAACATTCTAATACAGGTTTATCTATAAAATGTATCTACTTGCCAAGTGCTGAACTATAAAAGAGGTATTATTTACATGTGGGTTAAGAAATTCAATAGGTATTACAAACAAATGGCCATTAATGGAAGCAACTGCTACATCAAGGTGGCCAATTTAGAAAGATTCACTGCATATAAAACTTTAAAATATAAATGATATTAATTAATTCAGAATATCTCTTAAAGACTACAAGTGTCTGCCATACCTGGTTTTTATAAATATTTAAATAAAGTTATTTAATAGAGCTAAATAAAATTATAGTTATTTAAATAAAGCTCTTCTCCATAATTCTTCCTCTATATGTCTTCTTATGCTATATTGATGTATTTCTTGTACACTCCTTTGTTGCATATGCAATTCATCGCAATATCACTTTTTTCAATATAGAGGCAATTCAGACAACTAATTTTTCTTCTGCCCCTCTCCCTCCCTTCCCTCCTTCTACCCTCTCTCTAATTGTACATGCTTTCTTACATTCATGAATCTTTATGGAATATTTACCATGATTCTGCCACATATTTTGAGCATATGAAACTTGCATGCAAAATTCTTAATTTTTTTGGTTTTTCTTATAGTTATTGTCCTATGACACTGCATACTTAACGCTCCTGAAGGAACATTAAATAATATGTAACTACATATATACTTGCAGGCTCTTCGATTATGGAGTCAGAAGAAGTAAATTAAGAAGAATTAAAGTCATTAATTTCAATGTTTAGGCTTAAACAAACAAAAATAAAACTACAACAAAAAAACAAGTAATGTTTTTAACAGAAACAAACTGCCTAAGCAATCAACAAACACTAGACGCAAAATAAAGAGTTGAATATAATCATCCAGTTTCCCTCAATCCACTGAACAAATACTGAAATGTGAATATTTAGTTTCACTATCCACATAATTTTGACAAGCTCTCTTCTTATTAGCTATGAGACAAGTGGGGCTGGGGAGGGGTGCGGTGAGGCGAGGGGTGTAATTTGCTGGCAACACTATAAAAACAAATCTGTAGTTCACTTCCCGAGGCAAATGTGTTTTCTATTACATAGGAGTGAAAATTTCTAGTATTCATATGTTGCTAACCATGTTTGTTGATATCTTTATTTATAATTTAACTATGTGTAGAATGTGTATAAATTGCAGAGCTCAAAACAATATGTACAGATTACACATTTCTGCCATACATCATGTAATTTTGGTAATAAATAAAGTACATGTCATTGTCATTTCTGATCCTCACAATGTCAAATCTTCCTTAATAATACGACGTATAAGTAAAAGCAAAAAATGTCCAAAATGTGTTAATTAATATCCACATCTTTCACAGAACTATATAGCAAATATTTTTTCACAAAGGGTAACCACAACCATCTGTACCAGCTAGCAAACATTAACTTATCTTACCTTTTTGAACACAATATGATGTTGTTTTAATAAAGCTTGTTGCTTGGCATTCAATGTAGGTGCCAAAATTCCTCCTCCAGAACTCTGCATTAGATTTTGTACCTTCGCACATGCATCAATTCCTCCATTTTCAACAGATTTTGGTTTCTTTTTTTTCTTTTTCTTTTTATGTTCATTATCAAAATCATTCTCTCCGACACCACCATGATGCATATTCTCTTCTGTCATTTTCTCTTGAAGATGCACTCTCTCAGAACGTTCTTGTAATGGATGTTTTCTCACATCACCAGTGGTTGACAAAAACTTTTCAGAACCACTTTTTTCCTTCACAATTTCAACAGATTCTGCCATAATAAGTCCTAAAAATAAAAACAATAATATAGTCTCATTTGTTTACAAAATAAAACTAACTTAAACAAGACAGTGGGATTTCACTCCCAGAATAAGGATAGCTTAATATCAAAGTTTCAGTTTTATATATTTTCTATAATTTTATAACATTACAGATCTTTTATTCATGCAACATATTGGATAAGATATCAAATAAACACAACTAGGAATATAGACATATTCTAATGCTATTTAAAAATATTATATTAAGCAGCAACTACTTTTCGAAAAGTTCAAAGAAAAAAACAATATAATTGCAAGATTGAAAAGCAACCAAAACACCATGTTTCTTCTAACATCCCAAATTACATTAAAATACTCTTCTGACAGGATAAATTCTACAGATTTATACTGTCATAGTGCACTCACTTGTTCAAGTGTCATTAAAAAGCAGGCAACAATACAGAAATCACTATATCAGGCGTACTTCGTCCGCTGGCACTAGAGAAACTTGACCTCTCACGGGAAGGCAAACTTCACAAGCTAATTTGAATGGTTTAATAAATTTTGTCCAGCAGGTCAGAAAAGTTACACACTCTTCGCATGTAAGTAAGCCCACGCAACAATAGACAATTCAACAAAAACAACTTGCATTCACCGCATCCTTTTAGGCTGACAAAAATAACAACACTAGTACTACCAATCAGTGCTTTGGTCACAGATTCTGCATAGACCTGATACGGACTCAGAATAACACACAATAGATCAAGAGAAATTTAGAACATCCCAATACACGTATTTCGATATAGGATTCACTTGTGCATAAAAGTATTTTTCAAAGTTGTTAGTTTTCATGATATCATCTCTACCCTATGTACTGCATGAACGACACGACACACAATGCCAGCACAATACAATCAGATGTGACCTGAACTTTGTCCTCATCCAAAGCTCCTTGACTGTTTGACGATCACGTCACTCCTCAAAATGCGCGAAGTTCAAATCAAATTTGAATGACCAAACGATATATTTCCATAGATCTTAGGGGACATCCACAAATTACGTTCTAACGTTAAAGAGGGGGAGGGTGTGAGGGTGTTTGATGCAGTGTTATGTGGTGATACTGGTCGGCGAAGTAAGGGGTAGTGGAGTTAGTTCGTTACGTAACGCTAATATTTTTACTTTTAACATTTCCTTAAATAATTTCTTTTATTCAATCTTATACTAAATCATTGAAATATTAACAAATTAAAGGTTTCAAAAATATAAATGAACTAAAAATTTGGAATGAATATATTTTTTTCAACTGTAGTTTATTGATTGAATCTGTTAGATTACGAATAAAAAGTTCAAAACTCATCTTTAATATATTCTAGAATCCAATTAAATTGGCAGAGGAGACTCTCGTCCATTCGTCCCCTCACGGCGTCGTTTACTATATAAGTACTATTAAGTATTAGTCGTATACTGTCTCTCGCTTTCACCTGGCCTTCCCTCACCAATTGTCTCCAATCTTTTGGTTAGGGGCAGTCAGCATCGCCAATTAATTCTGACTTTAATTAGCATACATTTTAATATATAACAGAAATACAATTAATGCTTTTTCACTGTTATATAATTCATTTTTACTTATTATAAATAGGGGTTTGTTGTCGAAAGTGTCACGTAATTATTTAGAGGCGTTCAAGCGCGCGTTAGAGGTGCATTACATGTGGGAGACAGAACATTCATACATCAAATTTGCGGTACTTAATTTATGGACACCCCCGTATTAAAATTACATATTCACATACATCATTCACGTTCACACTCACATATATCATTCTCATTCACATGCATTTAGGACTTTCACCTAATATTAGTCTCTATAGCAGGCCTCCACAACGCCTGTTTCTGCAGGCATTCTGCACTCATCAACCGGACGTCTGCCCGCGAGAGCGTGCAAGTAGTTGGGGGTGGACAGCTCTGCGGGGAGGGTAGCAGCCACGCAATGACGTCGCAGAGCGTAGATTGAATGCCTAGGCGTCTTATACATTGCTCCATGCCGTGAAATTATTTGCCCACTTATTTAGATGGGTAATATCTAGTATTTCTAGCTGCAAGGGCCAACTTTCCCTGTCTATGTATGGACATATTTTTTCTTGTTGATTTTTTAGTTTATGCTTACTTTGACTCTTAAACAATATATTTAAACCAGTGGCCTCTTTATAAATTTATTATTTAATTTTACCTAGCAAAAATGAACAATTTAATAAATTTCCACCAATCGCGGAAAACGAAGCGGGGGAGGGCCACGTGACCCGCGAAGCTGAGGAGGTAGCTTCAAAACACAAGCTCGGTAATTTCCGATAGAGGAGGCGTCAGGGAGCAGAAGTGCCTTTCCGACGAGGGCGAGTTTCTTTGGCTCTGAGGGGGACGCTAGTGAATGCATTACCGTTTCGCCGCCGCGGCGCCGCCTGCAGCCCCGACCATCTCGCTAATAGGCAAAAGGGTGAAGCGAGACTCAGCTGTCGCCTGCTGTCGACCAAGTTTTTGTTGAGTTTCCTTCGCCCCTTGAGCAAATGCTGAAATGGCCCCTTCTTTCGCTCGTGAACAGTAATGTAACTTCGCTCTCTCCACCCAAGACATCATATTGACTCAACATACACGATTGTAATTGTATATGTGACTCAATAAATATTATTATTACATATACATATATAATTATACAATTAATAGTTATATATTTAACTCATAAATACGAAAAAAACAAATATAGAAACAGGATGATTGACCTCGTTGCTCATACCGACCCTGAAATAGAATACACTATGTTATTGATGTGTGTAAAATAAAATAGGGTGAACCCAACTCAATTTTTTGGAAAAAAACAATTATTTTAGCATTGGAAATGTTTTGCATAAAGGTAGTCGAAATATTACAGTAAATTGTGTTTCCTGTTGCTATTATTACCTATGCATCTAATGAATATGAAAGAAGAGAGAAAAATTATTATTTAAGTATTATTTGGAATCCTTTTTATTGTTGGCAGGGGCATCGTGTAACAGGGGCTCTGCAGCTGTTCAAAATGACTTCCTCTTGCGTGAACCAAGGTAACATCTGTGCCACACGGCCTCCGTGACAATCACAACTTGGTCGGGTTGACTCTTTATTATTCCGCCGCCAGGTTTTCAATGAGCATCACAGCCGACTTCGGTAGTATAAATGTGGTCATTCATTAGCTCCAAGAAAATAGTCCAGCTGATTCAAACTCGGAGTCCGGGACGGCCATACTATTGGGTCTCCTCGTCCGATCCATATATCTGAAAATTGCATATCTAGGTTTTCACAAACTCCGCGATAATTATGTGGGGTTCCGCTCTCATGCTGTTACCACATCTGTGCCCGCACATTCAACTGGGCGTCCTCCAAAAGCGTAGAGTACCTGAGTTATAACATTCAGATATTGAACGCCTCGCAAATACTCGGGTAAGAAGAGAGGAGCGATGATAAATTCACCCACAATGCTAACCCACACAATTACAGAAAATCACTCTTGGTGAGCTAAGCTACGTGCAACGTGAATTTTCCTCGGGCCACACATGCACATTAATTGTTCCAGTTATTTTAAAACACGATTCATCTGCTAAAGAATTTGCCTTTACGAAGGAAATGCCTCGAGTATTCAGAATGACGTAGTAAGTCTGTAATGCGCAAATTCTGCACCCGCTGGAAATGGAAGGTCGTAATCTCTCCGTATGAATTGTTTGACAAGTGAAAGACCTTGCCCACTATTTGCCTTGCGCTCGTTTCCGGGGCTTAGACGTATGTGCGAGATGATGAGAGACGTATGTGCCCTGGGGTACAACAAAATTAAGCAATTGAAACTTTAACATTGCAGTTAAGATCGCAAATTAAAGAATATTTAATTTCCATTATTACATACTACAAAACTAAACTCAGTCACAAGAGAAACAATTATGCAGTAATAAAATGAATTGTAGATTGAATTCAACATTATGCAATCATGCACAGCAACGATTTACCTTTATTAAATTGCATATTGAATATTATGCGAGTAATTAAATTCAGCAAAGAGAAATATTTTTTTTGTAATTTTACAAAGTAATTAAACAGTTGAAACACAGAGACATTACAATTACACCAGTCAAGTGATGAGTCTTGAAATTAAAGTTACTCATATAATTTCTGCGCAATATGCTACCTACGTTTCCGTACACACTACAAGCAGTGTTTAATAGAGAATCACGATAAATAACCGGAAAGCGAGTACATATTGAGTTCTTACTCGAAATTCCTGTTATTTAGTAAGATTGCATGGAAAGTCTTTAAATATTTGCGCGATACCATGGCAATAATACACTCAGCACTCACCGTTCGTGGAAAAGATATTGCTGAGAAAAACTTATGCAGGCACTGAAAGCAGCGATATTGCCGAGCGTCCGCGAAACACGCCAGCTATACAATACGACTGGATCTGAAGTGCGTCCCGTACTCGTCCGCGCTATAAGAGACTGTTTCTTCGCTCCACTTTTGTTAATGGGATGACAAAATCAAGAATATACATACTGACATGTTTTTACACAACATAGTGATGCAGATCATGGAGGTGACCTTGAGACAGGACGCTTGACATCAGGAGTACTCTGTTTTTATGCCAGTTGGTTTAATAGACGACAATCTTCTATAGCCATCTCTACTAATGAAGCTGAGATTGTAGCAGCTCGTGAGATTGTTTGGTTAAAGAGACTCTTAAATGAACTTTTAAGTGAACTAATAGCAGCACATTTGTTAGTTGACAATGAAGCTGTAACTCGTCTAGTGCAAAATTCTGAGTGTCATCGCATAACGAAACACACCCGTGTAAGACATTTTTTCTTCGAGAAGGAGTAACATCTGCAGAAATTAACATTTCAAGAGTGGATACAGAAAACCAACTTGCAGACTTGCTGACTCACCCATTGTTTCGTATTCAATTAGAAAAGTTATATAATAACATGGTCTCACTAAGTTATTGAATACGGGAGGGAGTTGATGTTCTATTCTCTTGTTTATAGAATATCTTGTTTAGGTTGTAAACTCTTTGACTGTTTTTCAACTAGGGTGGTAGAATCCGTGTATACTTTGTATTGTAAACAAAAAACGTTATGAGTGTCACGTATACAAATGTAAGACAACTAAAACTGTTCAATAAACGTGCATTATCCAAAGAATCAGTTAATCATTGAAGTATATAACCTCACGAACTACAGCCAATGAAAATGAAGAAACAGCAAACCACGTGCACATATATAATTACCTACAAACAAGAGGGCATGTGCGGCCTTTCGACATTAATGCGTTGTGATCCAATTACCAAGAGACTTCACATATACACAGATTGTCAACAAACTATAAGGGCATTTCAACACAACACCGAATGAAATAGTGGAAAGATTCAACTTTAACAAAAGATTGCAGAAGGAAAATGAATCAACTGCGGATTTTGTTGCCGATCTTCGCAAATTGAGTAAGTATTGCAATTTTACAGAACTAAATAAAATATTGAAGATCAAATTGTATGTGGAGTTGCTGACGAAGTGTTACAAAAAAATTGTTTTCAGAACCTAACCTTACTTTGAACGAGCCTTAGAGCTGGCTATTGAAGCGGAAGCGGCTCAGTACAGTCAAGTGATTTACTGTTTGGAGCATAGGTTTGTCCAGGAATTTTTCAAAGAATCATGGACTCGTTGCTGGCTTCGCTTTCACGAGCAAAAGCGTATCTGGATGATATCATTGCGTTCGGAAGGACTCAAGACGAACACGGAGAAAATTTAAGAATAGTTTTGGACAAACTTTGTGATGCAAGATTAACTCTTAAAAAGGATAAATGCAAGATTGGATAGCACGAAATCAAGTTTTTAGGGTTTCTTATCGATGAACAAGAAGTGCGACCTACAGAGGACAGGGT